AAATGAGGGGAGCAAGATAGCCTTTTGCACTTAGCTCAGTATTTACCATCTTTGATCATCTTCATCTTTTCTGATCATCTCATTTTCCACCTGGTATCATTTGTCTCTAGTCTGAAGAATTTTCTTTACCAGTTGTTATTGTACAGATCTGCTGGCGAGAAATTCTCTTAATTTTCTTTTACCTGAAATATCTCCTTATTTGCCTATCCTTGAAGGACATCTATGCTGGATATAGAATTCTTAGTTAACCTTTTTGTCCTCCAGCACTTTAAAGATGTTATTCCACTTTCTTTTGTTTCTATGGTTTCTAATAAGAAGACATGGATCAGAACAAGAGGAACAGAGAAATCAGAACTGGGAAAATAACATGGTAGACCTGAAACTTGTCATATCAATAATGACAAAAACCTATATGAATCAACACTCTAATGAAGGGCAGAGATTGTGTGACTTGGTTTTAAAAAACATAGAATCCAACCATATGCTCTTTCCAGACATGCACTTTGTTTTAATTTAACTTTTATTTTTAGTTAAGGGGCATATGTGCAGGTTTGTTACATAGGTAAACTTGTGTCATGGGGTTTTGTTGTACAGATTATTTCTATACCCATTAGTACCCACCCAAGTATTAAGCCTTAGTACCATTAGCTATTTTTCCTGATCCTCTCCCTCCTCCCACCCTCCACCCTCAGGTGGACCCCAGTACGTGTTGTTCCCCTCTACGTGCCCATGTATTCTCATCATTTAGCTCCCACTTGTAAGTGAGAACATGTGGTATATAGTTTTCTGTTCCTGCGTTAGTTTGCTAAGAATAATGGCTTCCAACTCCATCTACGTTCCTGCAAAGGACATAATCTCATTCTTTTTATGGCTGTATAGTATTCTACAGTGTATATGTGCCACATTTTCTTTATCCAGTCTACCAGTGATGGTCATTTAAGTTGACTCCAAGTCTTTGCTATTGTGAATAGTGCTTCAATAAACATATGTGTACATGTAAGACATGCACTTTCTTTTTTTATTTAACTTATTTTACTTTAAGTTCCAGGATACATGTGCAGAACATGCAGGTTTGTTACATACGTGTAGTCTGCTATGGTGGTTTGCTGCACCTATTCACCCGTCCTCTAAGTTCCCTCCCCTCACCTCGACTCCCCAACAGGCCTTGGTGTGTGTTGTTCCTCTCACTGTGTCCATGTGTTCTCATTGTTCAACTCCCCCTTAGGAGTGAAAATATGCAGTGTTAGGTTTTCTGTTCCCAAGTTAGTTTGCTGAGGATGATGACTTCAAGCTTCATCTATGGTTCTGCAAAGGACATGAACTCATTCCTTTTTATGACTATGTAGTATTCCATGGTGTATATCTACCACATTTTCTTTACCCAGACTATCATTGATGGGCATGTGGGTTGGTTCCATGTCTTTGCTATTGAATATAGTACTTCAATAAACATACATGTGCATGTGTCTTTATAGTAGAATGATTCATATTCCTTTGAGTGCATACCCAGTAATGGGATTGCTGGGTCAAATAGTATTTCTGGTTGTAGATCTTTGAGGAATGGTCACACCATCCTCCACAATGGTTGAACTCTTTTACATTCCCACCAACAGTGGAAAAGCATTCCTATTTCTCCACAGTCTCGCCAGCATCTGTTGTTTCTTCACTTTTTAATAATTGCCATTCTGACTGGCAGGAGATAGTATATCATTGTGGTTTGATTTGCTTTTCTCTAATGATCATTGATATTGAGCTTTTTTTCATTTGTTTCTTCTTCTGAGAAGTGTCTATTCATATCCTTTGCCAATTTTTGATGGGGCTTTTTTTTTTCTTGTAAATTTGTTTAAGTTCCTTGTAAACAAACATGTGAGCTCTCATCGTTCTTGTTTAAACACCTAACAGGCATCCTAACCAGTGCAACATGGCAAGAAAATGAAATGAAACCAATAGAAGGACAGGGCATGGTGGTTCATGCCTCTAATCCTTGCATTTTGGGAGGCTAAAGTGGGAGGATCACTTGAGTTCAGGAGTTGGAGACCAGCCTGATAGTGAGACCTCATGTCTACCAAATAAAAATAATTTTAAAAGAAAAAAGATCAATAGATAGGAAAGGAAAAAACAAAAGTCTTTCTTTGTTACCAGCTTCATTGCATATGTAGAAAACACTAGGAGATTCTGAAAAAGTCTCTGGAATTAATCATTTAATTTGCAAAATAGTTCATAAAATATATGTAATAAGTCACTTAGATGAACATGAAAAGACAGTAAACAACACTAGTCATCTAAGAAGTGCAAATTAAAACCACAATGAGAAGCCATCGCACATCACCTAGAATAGGTAAAGTAAAAAGACATTTGATAAGTCTAAATACTATCAAGAATATGGAAAAAATAGGAATGTCTGATATTGCTGGTAGGAATGCAAAAAATGTGGCAGTCAACTTGTAAAGCAGTACGGCAATTTCTTATACAGCTACCCATCCATTACCACATGACCCAGCAATTCCACAAATACGTATTTATCCAAAAGAAATAAAAATGTAAGGTCACACTTGTAAGCAGTTATTTCTAGTGGCTTCATTAATAACAAACCCTAGCTGGAGGAATCCACATGTCAATCAGCTAGAGAATAGAGAAACCAATGCATAAACTGGGATTCCAGCAATACTCACCAGCTGCTCAGCAACAACGAGTGAATGGCATCATCTCAAACATCGTTATGCTAAGGGAGAGACCAAACGAAGGACTACATAACATACGATTGCATGTCCATTAAATTCTAGAAATTTCACTATTGCAGTGACAGAAAACAGAGCGGTGGTTGAGTGAAGGGAAGGGGTGAGGGTGGGAGGGAAGGATTAAACTAAGGGGAGAGGAGGGTGTGAGGGATGAGGGCAGAGAGAAGGGCTAGGGAAGCAGGAGGTGAGGAGAAGGAGCAGGGAAAAGGACTCCAAAGCAGTGGAGGAGCCTAGCAGGGGGTTCTGTGCATTCGGTGTTTCTCTACTGGGCAGTGTGGTAGTTACACGACTATAAATAATTACCAATATTCACCAAGAAGAACAGCTAAAACTGATTAATTTTATTACACGTAAACTCCCTAATTAGCAAAAAAAAAAAGGAGGGGGGAGGGGAGGCAAAAATAAAGATATTTTTAGATCATCAAAACCATAAAATTCATTTCCTAGGGATCCTGTTCTACATTTAATTTTAAAGGAAATTCTTCAGGCTGAAGGGAAACGATACTAGATGGTGACCCAGATACACAGAAAGGAACAATTAACAACAGGAATGATGCACATACACGTGTCACATTCACACTCATTTTCTTAATTTCCTGAAGACATGTGGTTGCTTGTCTAAAACAAAAAGTATTACACTGTATCATTGAGTTTATGATATAGATTGACGTAATATATAAAACAGTAATAGCATAATGGTAGGTTAAATGAAACTACACTGTTGCAAGTATCCTTTATTTTGCTGGATGTAGTTCAATAGAACCTGAACTTCACTGTGAAAAGTCAAGGAATCGGGTTTCCATTCTTCCAACAATAAAAAGCTAGTGTAAAGAAATATAGCCAAAAGTCACTAGGAGAATTAAAACCATAAACTAAAAACTGTTTATTTGACACATAAAAAAGTAGCAAAGGAGGAACAGAAACAAAAAGATATGAAACAAATTGAAAGCATATAGCAAAATGGTAAACCAAAATCCAGCCATAGTAAGTGAAGAAATGACAGGACTTTGCTCACATTAGCAGGACCGCTGAGCACTGTGGGGAGAACAGACATGGGCAGGAGGTGAGGGACAGTGTCAGTGCCACAATTCAGGAGTGACAGGGTAGCGGGGACTTAGGGGAAGAGGGGGTGTGAGGGATGAGAGGGGCAGAGAGAAGGGCTGGAGAAGCAGGAGGTGAGGAAAAGGAGAGAGGAAAGAATTCTAAAGCAGTGGAAGAGCCTAGCAGGCGGTTCTTTGCATTCGGTATTCAATACATTTTGTTGGACTTCCTAAAAACTAATTGGCTCCTTACGATTAAAAAAAAAAGTTACAAAAATACCAAAGGTCCAGATAAAATATGCACACTGCTTAGATGTGCAGAGTTCAGGAAAACAGGCAGTGCTTGAGCGTCGGTGAAGAGCATTGGGACTGCATGGAGCACTCGCAACTTTGAGGTGATGACTACAGGCTCCCAGTTGCAATAGACAGTAACAAATCCTGCTTCTTTGTATTCAGGAGACGTTCTGGACTCACACAGGGAAACTCGGGCTAAGGAATGAAGGTAATTTTAAATGCAACAACCCAGAGTCACAGATCCATAGTCTGCGAAAGTAAAACTTAGGAGCTTTGTAATGCTGTTTTGACACAGGTCTTTTACAAATTGGAATTCCAATCATTCAGGGATTACCAACATTGTGCTACCTACTGTATTAATAAAAAGGAAACTGGTCTCTATGAGAATCTCTACGTGGTGCCTTCAGACAAAACTTCACCAGGTTTAGAGAGAAAACCCTTGTCTCTCCACCTCCATTCCCAGGGCGAGCTCACTCTCTGTCATCAAGTTCCCTGTGGTGAGTTTCCCTGTACAAAGGTCCCAGGGGAGAGGTAGGAGTGGGAGGCAGGGAGTCCAGTTCAGGGTCGGGGATTCCAGGAAGAGTAGGGAAGGGGAAGGGGCTGGGTGCAGCCTGGGGGGGTCTCTCCCTGGTTTCCACAGACAGATCCTTGTCCAGGACTTAGGCAGACAGTGTGACAAAAAGGCTTGGCGTGGGAGAAGAGGGATCAGGACGAAATCCCAGGTCCTGGGCGTGGCTCTCAGGGTCTCAGGCTCCGAGAGCCTTGTCTGGATTGGGGAGGCGCAGAGTTGAGGATTCCCCACTCCCCTAGTTTCACTTCTTCTACCAACCCGTGTAGGGTCCTTCCTCCAGGATACTCGTGACGCGTCCCAGTTCCCACTCTCATTGGGTGTCGGATGTTTAGAGAAGCCAATCAGCGTCGTCGCGGTCTCAGTTCTAAAGTCCCCACGCGCCCGTCCGGGCTCAGAGTCTCCTCAGACGCCAAGATGCGGGTCGTGGCGCCCCGAACCCTCCTCCTGCTGCTCTCGGGGACCCTGTCCCTGACCGAGACCTGGGCCGGTGAGTGCGGGGTCGGGAGGGAAACGGCCTCTGCGGGGAGGAGCGAGGGGACCGCAGGCGGGGGCGCAGGACCCGGGGAGCCGCGCGGGGAGGAGGGTCGGGCGGGTCTCAGCCTCTCCTCGCCCCCAGGCTCGCACTCCTTGAGGTATTTCGGCACCGCCGTGTCCCGGCCCGGCCACGGGGAGCCCCGCTTCATCTACGTGGGCTACGTGGACGACACGCAGTTCGTGCGATTCGACAGCGACGCCGAGAGTCCGAGGATGGAGCCGCGGGCGCCGTGGATGGAGCAGGAGGGGCCGGAGTATTGGGACCGGAACACACGGAACGCCAAGGGCCACGCACAGACTGACCGAGTGGACCTGGGGACCCTGCTCCGCTACTACAACCAGAGCGAGGCCGGTGAGTGACCCCGGCCCGGGGCGCAGGTCACGACCCCTCCCATCCCCCACGGACGGCCCGGGTCGCCCTGAGTCTCCGGGTCCGAGATCTGCCCCGAGGCCGCGGGACCCCGAAACCCTTGACCGGGGAGAGCCCCAGGCGCCTTTACCGGGTTTCATTTTCAGTTGAGGCGAAAATCTCCGCGGGTTGGGCGGGGCGGGGCGGGGCTCGGGGGACCGGACTAACCGCGGGGGCGGGGCCAGGGTCTCACACCCTCCAGACGATGTACGGCTGCGATCTGGGGCCCGACGGGCGCCTCCTCCGCGGGTACCGGCAGGACGCCTACGATGGCAAGGATTACATCGCCCTGAACGAGGACCTGCGCTCCTGGACCGCCGCGGACATGGCGGCTCAGAACACCCAGCGCAAGTGGGAGGCGGCCGGTGTGGCGGAGCGGAACAGAGCCTACCTGGAGGGGACGTGGTGGAGTGGCTCCGCAGATACCTGGAGAACGGGAAGGAGACGCTGCAGCGCGCGGATACCAGGGGCAGTGGGGAGCCTTCCCCATCACCTCTAGATCGCCCGGGATGGCCTCCCATGAGGAGGTGAGGAAAATGGGATCAGCACTAGAATGTCGCCCTCCCTTGAATGGAGAATGGCATGAGTTTCACTGATTTCCTCTGAGGGCCCCCTCCGCTCTCTAGGACAATTAAGGGATGACGTCTCTAAGGACATGGAGGGGAAGACAGTCCCTAGAATACAGTTCAGCGGTCCCCTTTAACCCCTGCAGCAGCCTTGGGCACCGTGTATTTTTCTCTCAGGCCTTGTACTCTGCCTCACACTAAATGTGTCTGAAGGTCTGATTCCAGCTTTTCTGAGTCCCTCGGCCTCCACTCAGGTCAGGACCAGAAGTCCCTGTTCCTCCCTCAGAGTCTAGAACTCTCCAAGGAATAGGAGATTATCCCAGATGCCTGTGTCCAGGCTGGTGTCTGGCTTCTGTGCTTCCTTCCCCACCCCAGGTGTCCTGTTCATTCTCAGGGTGGTCACATGGGTGCTGCTGGAGTGTCCCATGAGAGATGCAAAGCGTGTGAATTTTCTGACTCTTCCCATCAGATCCCCCAAAGACACACGTGACCCACCACCCCGTCTCTGACCATGAGGCCACCCTGAGGTGCTGGGCCCTGGGTACCCTGCGGAGATCCACTGACCTGGCAGCGGGATTGGGGAGGAGCAAACTCAGAATTGTGGAGACCAGGCCAGGAGGAGATGGAACCTTCCAGAAGTGGGGAGCTGTGGTGGTGCCTTCTGGAGAAGAGCAGAGATACACGTGCCATGTGCAGCATGAGGGGCTGCCGGAGCCCCTCACCCTGAGATGGGGTAAGAAGGGGGATGAGGGGTCATGTTTGTTCTCAGGGAAAGCAGGAGCCCTTCTGGAGCCCTTCAGCAGGGTCAGGGCCCCTCACCTTCCCCTCCTTTCCCAGAGCCATCTTCCCAGCCCACCATCCCCATCGTGGGCATTGTTGCTGGCCTGGCTGTCCTAGCAGTTGTGGTCACCGGAGCTGTGGTCGCTGCTGTGATGTGGAGGAGGAAGAGCTCAGGTAGGGAAGGGGTGAGGGGTGGGGTCTGGGTTTTCTTGTCCCACTGGGGGTTTCAAGTCCCAGGTAGAAGTGTGCCCTGCCTCATTCCTGGGAAGCAGCATCCACACAGGGGCTAACCCAGCCTGGGGCCCTGTGTGCCAGCACTTACTCTTTTGTGTAGCACATGTGACAATTAAGTATCACCTTGATGATTATGGTATTGTGTCCTGAGTCCAGCATTCACGAGTCAGGGGAAGGTCCCTGCTAAGGACAGACCTTAGGAGGACAGTTGGTCCAGGACACACAGCTGCTTTCCTCCTGTTCCCTGATCCTGCCCTGGGTCTGTAGTCATAGTTCTGGAAATGTCTCTTGGGTCCAAGACTAGGAGGTTCCTCTAAGATCTTATGGCCCTGCTTCCTCCCAGCCTCCTCACAGGACATTTTCTTCCCACAGGTGGAAAAGGAGGGAGCTACTCTCAAGCTGCGTGTAAGTGGTGGGGGTGGGAGTGTGGAGGAGATCACCCATCCCGTAATTCCTCCGGTCCCACGTCTCCTGCGGGCTCTGACCAGCTCCTGTTTTTGTTCTACCCCAGCCAATGACAGTGCCCAGGGCTCTGATGTGTCTCTCACGGCTTGAAAAGGTGAGATTCTTGGGGTCTAGAGTCGGGGGCCGGGGACAGAGGGGAAAGGCCTGTGTAATGGAGATTCTTTGATTGTAACGTTTCGAGTGTGTGATGGGCTGTTCAGAGTGTCATCACTTACCATGACTGACTTGAATTTTTTGTTCATGACTGTTGTTTTCTGTAGCCTGAGACAACTGTCTTGTGTGGAACTGAGAAACAGGATTTCTTCACGCCTCCCTTTTGAAGACACTCTGGCATCTCTTTCTGCAAAGGCATCTGAATGTGTCTGCATCCCTGTTAGCACAATGTGAGGAGGTGGAGAGACAGCCCATCCCTGTGTCCACTGTGACCCCTGTTCCCACGCTGACCTGTGTTTCCTCCCCAGTCATCTTTCCTGTTCCAGAGAGGTGGGGCTGGATGTCTCCATCTCAGTCTCAACTTCATGTGCACTGAGCTGCAACTTCTTACTTCCCTACTGAAAATAAGAATCTGAATATAAATTTGTTTTCTCAAATATCTTCTATGAGAGGTTGATGAGTTAATTAAATAAGTCAATTCCTAGAATTTGAGAGAGCAAATAAAGACCTGAGAACCTTCCAGAATCCTCATGTTAGCTGTGCTGAGTCTGTTGCAGATGGGGGTGGAGAAGGCTGTGAGGAGCCCAGTGTGGACGGGGCCTGTGTCTAGTTGCTGTTCAGTTCTTCATGGACTTTGTGTGGTCAGTCCTCAGCTGGGTCACCTTCACTGCTCCATCATCGTTGTTCCTTCAGTGGAAACTTGTCCAGCGGGAGCTGTGACCACAGAGGCTCAGACGTCGCCGAGGGCAGCCCCTGCACACGGGGTCTCTGTGCATTCTGAGACAAATTTTCAGAGCCATTCACCTCCTGCCCTGCTTCTAGAGCTTCTCTTCTGCTCTGCTCTCCTGCCCTCTCTCTCTGCCCTGGTTCTAGTGATCTTGGTGCTGAATCCAATCCCAACTCATGAATCTATAAAGCAGAGTCTAATTTAGACTTACATTTGTCTGTGAAATTGGACCCATCATCAAGGACTGTTCTTTCCTGAGAGAGAACCTGGTTGTGTGCTGCAGTGTGCTGGGGTCGGGGGCATGGGGGGCGTTGCTGTAGAAAGAGGGATGGGGGAGGGAGGGCACACAAGCAGCACTGCTGAGAAAAACATAGGCAGCCTCTAAGTGTGAGGGGACCTTGTGCTGTACCTGCCACCAAGCAGCATTTGGCCTGAGGCTATGTTAATAAAGATGCTGCCTTTAGAATAGGGAGGTGCTCTACAGTGATCATTCAATCAACTGACCTTTGTCATTGACCAGACATGGGACAGAATGGTTCTGCATCTGTGGAACACCATTGAAGTAAAATCAGAAAAATCTCTGGCCTTATGTAGCATATGTTCCAGTGAAAAGAGGCAGACGTTAGATACACTATAACCAGAGTAAGGAAGGAAAGTGCTAGAAGGTGGTAAGTGCTATGAGGCAGGTAATCCAGGATGTGGGCAGTGGGGACAGGGAAGGTGGCTGTTGTGCTGGGTAGTCAGTGTGTGCCTTGTTGCAAAGGTGACCTCTGAGGAAGGATTTGAGGGACATGAGGATGTCTGGGGAAGTTCTTTCCAAACAGAGGAACCTCCAGTCCAAATGCACTATGGCAGGAAGGTGTCTGTGTTCCCAGAAGAGCAAGGAGGCCAGGAGGGGTGGACAGAGAGAAACTGAGGTGAGGTCAGAGGTGCGGCCAGAGCAGGTGGGCTTGAGGGGAATGGGGTTGGATCTGACCTTTGCTCTGAGCGGGATGAAGAGTCAGAGGACAGTTTTGAGCAGAAGAGGGCCATGATATAACTTCTCTTTTAAAAGGATCTCTGACCGCTGTGCTGAGAACAGAATTGAGAGGTGAGGGATGAGGGAGGCAGAAGGGAAAACAGTAGGAAGCCAGTGCAGTATTCCAGGCTGGAGATGTCAGTTACCTTGACTGGGCTGTGAGCAGAGGAAATAGTGGGACGTGAGGGGATTCTGGATGCATTTGAAGATGCACTCACAGCATTTGTCAATGGATTGTATCTGTGGTGTGAGAAAGACGAATCAAGTACACCCAGAGTTGTAAAATGAGTGAGTAGAAGGAAGGGTGGAGCTGCTGTCAGTGGAGATGGGGAGACTCTGGCAGGAGCATACTGAGGAGGGGGCATCACAGGGACTCAGTGGAGATGTCTACTAGGAATGCAGGTGGGGGAGCTGGGGTGGAATTTGGACAGACAACTCCAGACTTTAGAGGAAAGGAGAAATAGACTGGGCAGGAGAAATAGATTTAAGAGCTCGTACCATATAAACGATACTTAAAACCTCAAGCATGGATGACTACTCTACTACACACACTACTCCCGTGTGCACAGGGATCACCCAGACGTGGTGCTGAGATCCAGGAAGTCTGGAGTCGAGCAAGAGATTCTGTATTTATGACAAGGCTGGAGTTCATGTTGCTGGTCTCCAGATCACACTTGGAGTAGCAAGAACACCAGGATCCCACATGTCTGAGCATCAGCCTCACCTCTAGGGCTTGTTATATAAACGATTCCTTGGTCTTGTGCATAATACTCTGAGACAGGGGTTCTGGGGAGTGGCCTGAGTATTTTCTAAGCCCCCGCCAGCAATCCTGTTGCTCAGCCAGATTGGGAACCACTGAGATCAGAGATCAGAGAGTGCCCAGGGTGGGTGGGTGGGGTGGGTTTTCAAACCCTGTTTAAAAGAGGATTTTTCTCACAGAAAGAAAAGGGAGGATGTATATCATCAGTTATGAGATGTGACATTCCCTGTTGTTCTCTCCACAGTGGGGTAGAGGCCAGGTAGACAATTCAGGATGTGGCTCTCACACAAGGACACCTGTGAATGCAGCTCTCTGACACCTGCCCACAGACTCATTTCCCGCTCACTTCTTGGAGCAAACTATGGAAAACAAATTTCTGTAATATACACATAAAGTCGTATATCTGGTATTGGGGGCTAGTTTTATTGTGGGGAAGGCCACAGAAGCAGGCTGGAACCTACACATCCAGGAACAGAATCCACAGCCCACCCTGGATCAGGTCCCTCCTAGGAACAACTGCCCCTGCTGCTGAGCACAGACGCCACTGCTCACACCTCTGACACCCTGGTGCTGGACACTGGACCCCGAGACCAGGACAGATGTCACTGCTGCACCTGGAAATTGGACATCACTACTGCTGTCAGCTGTCTTTACTAAAATGTTTTCTGCAGAGTCCCAGCCTCTCTGTCACCTCAGTCTGGCTCAGAGGCTGGCAGTGATATAGGAGTTAAGAAGAAATTATTTAGACAGGTAGTGAGGGTATGGAAGGCTTTTAATGAAAAGCAGGCTCCAGATTATTTTCTTTTCTAACAAGGAGCAGCCTGTAATATCAAGCTTCAGACATAGACAAGTAAGCTGGAAGCTTGCACAGGTGAATGCCGGCAGCTGTGCGAATAGGAATCGGACACCTGGGACTGGGCATGTTCACAATGGCGACTCCATCTTCCCTTCTCTTTGCCAGGCACGTTTACAGTAAGCAGACAGCATGGCGCCGGCCAAGTGGAAAGCCCATTTGCATAATAGGATGAGGATGGGGTGAACAGCCTTCCACACGCACTGTGTAAATATCACACCTGGTCCAACCAACCTGCGGGCCCTACATAAATCAGACACCATCTCCTCAAGCCTGCCTGTAAAATCCGATGCACTCCCATTCCAGGCCAGAATTCCCTTTTGGGTGCCCCTCTCTCTCACAAGAAGAGAGTTGTTCCCCTTTGTCTTTCTTTTGCCTATTAAACCCTTTGCTCCTAAACTCAATCCTTGTGTGTCGGTGTCCTTAATCTTCTTGGCTTGAGATGACAAACCCTTAGTATTTACCTGAGACAATGAACCTCTTCAGCAGGTGGTCATCGGACTGGTGGAGCTTAAGACTCATGTCCATGATCAACTGCAGGGTGACTGGAATGTTGCCCTTATCCAGGGATGGAGGTGGTGTCTGTCTCCTCTCAATATTTTACATGCTATAAACCAAAAATAAACATCAAAACCACTCCCTCCAAATCATTTTAATGGATACCCTCAGTCAGTGTGCTCAAAAGTTAACCTGAAAGACTGACTCAAGCCATCATGGAAAGCAGGTGTTGAACATGCCTCATTATGCTCTCTTCCCTTTTGGAATTCAGGAAAAGCTGACCAGGATTTACCATCAACAGAGACCTTAAGTCTGATCAGAAACATTTACAATCTATTCTCTCTGAAGCCTGGCACCTGGAGGCTTGATTTGCATGAGAAAATTTTGGACTCCACCACCTCTTATCATAACCAAGACATTCCTTTCTATTGATAGTAACTCAACCAATTACCAATTAGAAAAATTAAAAATCTACTTATAACCCAGAAGCACTACCCTGCAACCCTTGCTTGCTTCAAATTGTTCCAATGTTTTGGACCAAACCAGTGTATAGTTTAATGTATTTGATAGATGTCACATATCTTCCTAAAATATATAAAACCAACCTGTGCCACAACCACGTTGAGCACATGTTCTCCGGAGGACTGTGTCATGGGCTGTGGTCACTCATTTTTGGCTCAGATTAAATCTCTTCAAATATGTTACTGAGTTTAACTCTTTTCACCAACAGTGTGGAATTCTGGTGCAGTAAGAGGGTTCAAGTGCTGGAGTGTGAGGGGTGGGGAAAAGTGACAAATTTTAATTCTTGGAGCAGTGATCCAGGACGAGAACTTTATCTGGTACCTGGTAGGCATGCAGAGTGGCTGAATGAACCAGTGACTAATAAATAACATATTTCTACCCATTCCTTTGAGGATAGGTTATTACATCTAGTTTTTGTCGATCCCAGTTCATACTCTAGATTATTGGAGTGGCATTCTGTGATAGTGAAATGATTATTCAAACAGCTTCCCTTGACTTTGTCTCTTACTAGGAGTAAAACACCCAGGTTTGTAAGATCTCCGAGAATCTGGGTCCACACCGATGTTTTATATTAATATCTATATTTTCTTGTGTGTGGAAATATTTCTGGGGAGAGAATCTCTAACATTTATTAGTTTTTATGTGACACCCTCAAAGGCCTAAGAAATCCTAACTTCTAGGTTAGAGGTAGGGCCACTCCACGTCTGACAATGAACAGCTGATAGTAACCTGTGTTTAGTAGATTAGGGACATGAAATAAATGCTTACATTTTGTCTATCTTTTCCTCTGGGACCAAAAAGATAGAGATGTACTTGCTTACTCCAAGTTTCTCTCTGTGGGATGGTGATGGGGTTTTCCTCCAACCAAATAACTTTCTGATTCTCTAACAGTAGCTGGGAGTCCTACAATTCGACTCAATTATGACACTAACTACCTGGAATTCACCAGGTA